GTACGGTATGATCCTCTTCTATATCATCTATTGTCGGTTTAATCTGTTTATAAATAGATTAAAGATCTATTATGATTTTCTGTTTTTATCTAGAACTTTTTAGTTTGTTATTTATTCCCTTTGTTTAGATTTATATTAAAAAACTACCAGGCCGTTAAAGCATTATTTTTTAATATTTAATTAATTGATTTACCATTTGAAAAGATTTTTTTTTTTTTTTTTTTTGTAATAAGCTCTTTTCAAATTCACATTTCAAACTTTAAATTTCAAATTTCAAATACAAATTTTAAAATTTAGAAACTTCAGACGATATGCTTGTACAAATAAGTAAGTTTTTGATTGTTTGTTGTTAATGGTGTTAATTAGGATTTTTTTAATCCTTAAATAAACATCTCAGTTGTATCGATTTTGTTTTTAGTGGAACTACAACAGCAGAGTGGTAATTTTTTGTTTGTTTTGTTAAAGAGTTTTTAATCAACATTTATATCAGTTAAATTAACATGAAAAATAGAGTGAAAAATAAGGAATCGAAGACCAGCGGTCAATTTGACCGGCCAACTCAAGGAATTGACCACAGGTCAGAAATTTAAGGTTTAAGTTTACTATCCGAGTACCCCAAAAATGTTAATAAATATAGTAAGTGGGGCATCTGAACACTTCATTTTCATATTTAGAAAAATCTGGGAGGTATCACATTTTTAGAAAATTGACATTGAAAATCTAATAGAAAGTCATTATTTTCGTACTTAAAAAAACTAAATATACTGACAGAAAGTTGAAGTTTATTTGAAAAAATGTTCATATACCAACTTTTCAAGGTATTTAATTTAATATTTATACATAAACATTATAAGAATACACAAAGTTGGTCAAAAAAACATTTTTTATTAAAAATGTTTCTTTTTGACTATGCATTTTTATTTTAATTTTATTATAGATACCTAATATATTGAATCTATGGCTCCTCTGCTCTCTAAGGAGAAGAGAGAATACCATTTTAAAAGAAATCATGTACTTTTTCAAAAAATCATTTGCTGTTGCTGCCTTGAAAAGAACAACAAATGCATTCCAGTTAATAAAAATTAGGAAGACCTGGTTCAAGTTTTCTGTAAGCCTGAGTTTTCACTTAAAGTATTTGCCTACCCTACAGGATTATGCCCAGGTTGCAAGAAAAACTTATATCTCTGTAAGGCTGGTAAAACTATTGCTGACACAGTTACTTTAAAATCGGAAAAATTCTGATTTGTCTAGCTTGCAAACCTCTAGAGATTGCTCAATATTATGCAGTACATGCAGTCAAGAAAGAAACAGGTTATTAAATAAAAGTATGGAAAAGGGAACTAGCTCAACGCTGAAATTTTGTCAAATATGTTTCTGTGAAATTGCTAAAGGTAAACCCCACAAATGTTCCCCTTTAAAGAGTAGCACAAATCTTTCTGAGAGTATTTCTAAAATTTCTAAAAAAGTAAAAGAACAAGTAGCTTCTTCCCTTCTAAAAGAAACTTATTATGATCAAGAACAAAGTCTAGGAGCTCAAGCCATTCTCATAACAGGTAAAATATTGTTAAATAAAAATAGCTGTAATGTACGTTTTTAAAATAACAGTTTATATTATATTAAGGAGGTAAAAGTATTCATATTACACTCGGTACTCGGGAAAGTGACCAGAGAAAGATTCCTTATAATGAAGTAGAAGTTTTAGTAAATACCTTAGGACTTAGTCAATTGAAGTCATATGAAATGTTAAAAACATTGAGGAGAAGCGGCGTAAAGTTTGAGTCAAACATAGAGAAAGCCCTGGATGAAAAAAGTAAACTACTTTCCAACTTTTATGTCACTGAATTATTAGACTTTCAAGAAAAGGAAAAAGATAATGACTATGCTACAGTGAAGAGACACTTGGTATATATTGAAGATATTACAACATTTCTGGATTTTGTAATGAAATATCGAGGGCAGGTTCCACAAAACACATTTGTAAAGGTTGGAATAGATTCAGGTATTTATATTTAATTTATTTAATTTATATTACTTATTATATTTTAATAATTGTTTTTTTAAAAACTTGTTTTTAAAAATATTATTTGTACATATTTGTATACAAATATGTATGTGTGTAAGCATATATATATTTATAGGTGGAGGATCACTGAAAGTTATAGTAAATCTATTTGATCCAACCAAGGACAGGACAGAAGATAGCAGCTCCTTAGGATCATACTCAGGAGCAAATACGTCACTTGTTTTAGCTTATTGTGAAAGGGTAAGTCATAATCATTCTAACATGACAATGATTGTGGAAAAATTAAAATTGCATGAATGCAAGTACTCATTGGCTTCTGACATGAAGTTAATCAACATATTGCTAGGAATTTCGGTGTGTTTATTTTAAATAATTTTAAGATAATAAGGCATATTATGGTAAAAACTATATTAGGAAAAGTTTTTTTTTACCCTACAATATATTTATAAATTGAATTATAATATAAAATTTTAGGCTCATGGAGGAAAGTATACTTGTGCATGGTGTGAAGGTTCTTCAGAATTATTTTCTGGAGAGTTGAGAACATTTCAATCTTTGAATAATTACTATGAACTGTATTCATCTGCAGGATCTCCGGTGAAAAGTATGAAAGAATATAAGGTATAAATGAATAAATATATTGTAAATATTTTCAAAATTTATCATCCATTATAATTTTATCATTTTAAAAAGAATAAAAAAAAATTCATTTCCATATATTTAGAATGTCATTAATCCTTGTCTGCTTAAGATAGGAGACAAATCTCTAAGTAAAATAAGAGAGATTCCATTACCAGAACTTCACCTTCTGATGGGATTTTTTAACCATGTGGCAGAATTTATAATGCAACTTTGGCCTGGATTTATAGATTTAGTCAAGAGCATTGGATGCCTTCGAAAAGGTTACCATGGAGGAACATTTGAAAGAAACACGTGTAGAGAGATAAAGAGACTTAAAAGTTGCGACAAACTTGAGTTGATAATTCCTGTTGAACTGTATCCTCTCTTAGAAACAATGAGAAAATTTAATAAGGTTGTTCATGGTGTCTTTAGCTATAAACTTGACCCAAACTATTCAATTTTAATTGAAAGTTTTACACAAAGCTATAAGGATGCACAAGACTATTGCAGAGAGGTAATTGCTGTTTTCTTTACCCTTTGTATTTAAAACCAAGTTATTGATAAACATATTTATAGTAAGCTTTTTTAGTTTTTAGGTAAACAGCTCACGGTTACTTGGAAAGTACATGCTGTAACAGCACATCTGGAAACATTTGTTGATTTGAGTGGCCTTTTCCTTGGGCAGTTTAATGAGCAGACATCTGAATCTTGCCATTCCAAGATGAAAAGTGTAATAAACAGGTTTGGAGTCTCGCAGTACAGCAACAAACATAAAGAAAGAAGCAAAAGAATTGCTGAAATGTTCAGTTTAAATAATTTATAAGTTATTGAACATTAATTGTACATCAAAACATAAACATTATTGAAATCTTAAAGTTAAAAAAATTTGTAAATTTATTCAAAAAGACACTAAAAATACATTAGTATAAACAGTTTTTGAAATATTTTATTTAGTATTTATTATATTATTATTATTTATATATATTAGGTTATTAGGCAACTATGCATACAATACTAATATTTTACTAAATTACTTATATACTATCAATATGTTCTACTTTACTAAGCATACTATGTTCCTAATATAATTCAAGCATATCTAAACCTTTTTCACCAACTTAGATATATCTAAGAGCTGTCTAATGAAGTTGATGTGTAAATACAAAATTTAAGAGCATAAAAACTTGGAAAATAAAGTTATTTTATGTTAATTTTACTGTTCCGTCAATATATTTAGTTTTTTTAAGTACGAAAATAATGACTTTTTAGCAGATTTTCTATGTCAATTTTCTAAAAATGTGATACCTCCCAGATTTTTCTAAATATGAAAATGAAGTGTCCAGATGCCCCACTTACTATATTTGTTAACATTTTTGGGGTACTCTGATAGTAAACTTAAACCTTAAATTTCTGACCTGTGTGACGGTCAATTGTTTTTTTAGGACGGTCAACTTTTTTTATCTTCTTTTTTTTTTTTTGTTTAAATCAAAAAAAAAAAGATTTTACTTTGTTCTTTTGTAATATAAATAGCCCGGTTTTTATCTTTTTTTTTTTAAACGTTGTTTTTTAAAATTTTGAAAATTTAAATTACTAAATAAATAATTATTTCATCAACAACTTAATATTAATAAATTTAATACTTTTAATTTAACTAAAACATATAAAGAAATAGTTTTTATTAAAAAATTATTTAAATAGTTAAAGTTTGCTATAGAAACCAGTAACATTTTCTTTTTTTTTTTTTTTTCACGCTGTCAAGAAAAACCGTTCTTTATAAGTAAATTTTATAAATCCAAAAAAAAAAAAAGGCTAGAAGGGTAAGGCTTGAAGAATAAAAAATTGTTTTAATAATAGCAATTTTAATTAAATTAAATCTTTTTTTAAAAACGCAAGCAGGTAATTTATAATTTATTTAAAGATAATTGAACTCATTGCAATGACTTCGCAAATAGCGGGAAAAGTTGCACGAAAAATAATAAAAAAGATTCAATAAAAAAAAAGTAAAATTAAAATTATGTTCTTAATTACATATAATAATTTTTAATAACTATTAAATGAATATCTGAAGATAAAGAAGAGTTACTTTCGCACAATTTATTTCTCTTGCTCACTAAAAGCTTAAATTTTAAGTTTAAACAGTTTAAGTTAAACTGTTTAAACTGAATGCTTAAACTTTAAATATTTTTAAACATTCGTCTTCTTTGTATTAGACATTTTGCATAATAAAAAAAAATTATATATATATATATATATTTTTTCTTGTAACTAAATTATATATATATATACATATATATATATATATATATATATATATATATATATATATATATATATATATATATATATATATATATATATATATATATATATATATATATATATATATATATATATATATATATATATATATATATATACATATATATATATATATATATATATATATATATATATATATAATTATATATATATATATATATATATATATATATATATATATATATATATATATATATATATATATATATATATATATATATATATATATATATATATATATATATATATATATATATATATATATATATATATATATATATATATATATATATATATATGTATATATATATATAATTTAGTTACAAGAAAAAAAAAAAAAAAAAACGCAAGTGCTCATTTTATCTACAATTCGTCGCCATCCATTGTCCAACCATGTTCCAAAACATTTGCTATATTCAATCGAGGTATAGTGGCATGTTTCCAGATAAGCTTGATAGTTATATCTCAGTATGTGTTGCACTAATGCATTGGAAGCTGGAGGCAATTGCTCTTCACTATATTTGCCACTTTTGAAGAGTTCATATCTCAACTCGTTAACTAAAGAAATGTCATTACTATAAAGGTGACACACAATTTTATCTATTTTAGTATATAAATCTGAGGCCATCAAGTGATTTTCATCGTGCTCTGCTAATATGTTTTCATCCTCAGTTTTTTTTTGTAAGACCTTAAGTAAAGAAATTTTTCCTTTACCATAAAATGAACTTGCAGTATCGCATCCTAAAAGGAAAACACATTATACAATTTTACAGTGTTTTAAATGTTTTGTATTATGTAAGTGAAACTTACAAAAAAAAGAATGGGAAATCATGTCATAAAATGTAGATAAATTAAGTTAACCAATTAACCTGTAAAAGAGTGAAAGCCAGCTTCAGCGTTTACAAAAGATCTACCCCAATGAGCAAGTTTTCTTACATTTATTATACGCTTGTTGTTTTGATTTCCGGTTGAAAATATTACGTTAACAGTAAAATGTTTAATAGCATGTAAAGCTATGGTAAATACATCAGTGTCATTACTCCAAATTATAACATTTTGGTGAGATAAAGCCATTAATCGTGTATTTGCTTCTTCGTGGTCACTTTTAAGAGAGATTAATTCAGATACTACCACATTATTTGCTAATTACATAAATTGATAACATTTTTCTATATTGGTTAAATAAACACTCTTATTTGAGAAATAAAATGTATTCAATGAACTCCAATGGATAAACAAAAAATTTATTAGTTCTTCTTTTTTTTTTTGCCATTTGAAAAGAACTTTTTTAATTGACGAGGTATAGGCTGTAGTTTATTTAATATACGAGTAATTAAAGTTCTATGTGTAATTCTTTTTACTCGTTCTAAATTTTTAATACAATGAATAAAATACCTATCTGAAACAAAGTCAACACGCTGACACCCATAAAGTGTTGGACAGATTGATAACTTCTTTTAATATAAGTAACTAACTCATCAAACGTTTTGACTCTAACTTGCAGTGTTTGTAACAGTGCCATCGCTTCCACTAGTAAAGCTCCACTTTCAACAATTGGCCACACCAGTGAATCTTTAACCGGCTGCTCAAGAATTTTTACCAAATTATTTTTTGTTGTTTTTACTAAAGTTCCATCTGCGGTGGCAAAAGATGAGGGATGAGGTCGTAGAGGAGACTTTCAATTTTCCTTCATATCAATATCTCTGCTTTTTGCCAGCATTATTAGTTTAGCAAACAAATTTGTGGTGTTCTTTACTTCCATCATTTCCCCTTTTTTATTTTTAGTATGCACTTTATTTTGCATATTGGAAAATATCTGGCACTTTGCAAAGAATATTTTTGTTAATAAAACTCTCAGCTTTTTGATTTCCTATATCTTAAAGACTGAGAATATTTCTTGAAGTATTTTCTGTGGCAACTTGCCCACTTGCTAACTGTAGAAATTCCTTTCTGTCATCATAAAAAGGGTTTGCCATTGTATTAATAGTCTCCAGAATTGATGTAAAATCCTCTTCATCCTTTTTAATTCTTGATTCATCAAGTCTTTTCTACAACTTAATATCATGTTTAAAAATATACTTTTGAACAATTGAACCGATGATTCTTTTTTTTTTTTTTTTAAATCATCTTAAAATTACAATCGCTCGTCCAAATTTGAATAAGATTTTATATTAATACGTTTTTTAGGTGAAATGAACATTATAATTTAACAATATGATCTGTTCTGATCGTTTATTGGCAATTTTCTATAATTATAAGCTCTTTCTTGATCGGAATTCTAGTATTTTTTGTAAAAATTGAAAAAATTTTGTGTTTTGACAACTATATATAGTTAATATACGTCAGAACAGATTAGAACTAGGATCAGTAGTAAATTAAGGAACTTTTTCAAAAGATTTTAACAAAATTCATATTAATGCCGATGAGCGGAATTGGTCTAAAGGCTCCAAAATAGTGTTCTTTAGATACACTATTACAGGTAGTAAAAAAGTTTTGAAAATTATATAAAAAATAGAAAAGTTTCTTTAAATATTATAAAAGCCTTAAGCAAAAAAGATTATAGCATTTAATGACCTTGTTTGGACATAATATGCTGACGAAACCATGCTAATTCCAAATAAAAGTATTCGAATATTTTGCAAATCGCCCTAACTACACCGAGTTAGAATGTAAAACTGTATCCATTCAATCAATTATATATTTTCATCAATAAAAAAAATAATTTTTTACTACAAATATGTTTACCGTGTTATTGAAGATACTCATGCAAATTCCTCAGCTACTCCAGTTAACAAAGCCCTCTCCACTTGAGTTAACACCCATCTTTTAACAGCTCCTGGCTTATGTGTCATACTTACAATACCACCTGTAACTTTACTACTCCTGTTAAAAGTTTGTTTTATAGTTTGGTCATCTGCAATGTCTTTTAACTGTCCAGTTTACTCTTATTTCATGACAAATATCTGTAAAACATAAAATAGGAAATTATTCTAGGTTGATTACCAAAAAATCAAATATATAAGTTAATTCTATAATGTTTTTAAAAACACAAAAAACAATTATCTTGTAAGTAAACTATATATTGTTGTAAAACAAACTGTTTTACTTAATCTTAACACCTTAACACAAAAGAAAAAATAGGCAATACCTTTATAAGTTTGATTAAGTACACTCATTTATAACCAATAGCAAGATGCATATCTGTTGTAGTTGATACGATCTGTAACAAAAAACCATCCCAACATGAAGTTAACTGTAGATAGATGCAGATCCAATTTCCGGTACGAACCATGAAGCAGCATTAATTGCACCATTTCTAAGTAGACACTCCAGAAAAAAAACAACTGGGAGTTTGTACCTTGGTAATTAACATAATTCTAATAGCTTATAATAATATCTTGGTACAATGGGCTTTGAATATAGTCATCAAAGTTTGGATCTTCATAACATTCTTTCATACCACAAATAAAATTTGAAATTTCAACTTCTTTTCTGGTCTTTGAAGAAAGAAACGACTGAAATCTCAGACGACTAA